CAACATCTTCTTGCTCTTCAAAATTTTAAAAAGATAGAAACATTATAAAGATGGCTTCTTATTCTCAGTGGTGTGATTTTTTCCAGATTTTTTTTCCAGCTGCTATTTTTCCAGAGCTGTAGAATTTTCTGTATCCTCCAGACTGAATTATTAGTTTTGGTTCTCAGCAGAGAGCTCTGTGTGGTAGGAATCGCAGCCTGGTCGTCACGATTTCTACACTGGCATCAAAAAAACTCCCAACTGTTTTGACTGAAGTAAAGATTGACGTGGTAATAATCTCAGCAACTGATAAGAATGCAGACATTTATTGAGCTAGTTCAATTCTCAGGTGATTGTTTAGAGAACTGTGTTAAACCTAGGAAATAAGGTACTACGTTTCAAATTTTGCAGAATGGCAGCCCTGGAGCACAAGCAACTCTTCATACAAGTGCCTCCAGGGGTTCATTCATGTTAAAGGAATAGTTAGGCATGAGAGATGATGTTCTCCTTCAGCATCAGGCAGGACTGTTGCTTAGATACAAAGACTGTCCTTTTATTTTTATTCTTCAGAGGAGATGCAACATTGCCCTTAGCCTCACTCCTATGCTAATACCATCTATAATTGCCCTGAATGGCACAATCTGTTCTTTAAAAAGAAAAAAAAAGGACTCATGAAAACCTTGGGGTTCATCTTCCTAATTGTTCCTATTAATTAATCATCATAACAAGAGTCAGAAATCTGAGAATACAGAAATGTTGTATGAGGATACTACTATATTCAATAGCTCTTTTAATGTAAACTGAGACCATGAAATTATTTGGATATATGCTTTTGAATACATTTCTATATTAAAAACAAATTCTTTATTTTCTGGTAAATAGCTGGATGGGCAAAGTAAGTACTAGTGCTCTGAGATCTCAGATTATATTGATTCTGGGGGGGGGAAAAAAATCAAAAAATCCCTCTCTTAACAAAATAAAATGTCTAAATATCCTGCTTTCCTGCTTTGACTTATACACTACCAGAAGGAATTTTAAAGTATTTGTACAAAACTAAGAGGTACTTTAATGAAAAAGATAATTCACTTTTACTCTTAAAAGAAAATACTCAAAATTAATTGAATAATAAATGCATACTCATGACATTGCTTTATTTCAGATGGGTCCTAATTTTGTTCATCTGTTTTAAAGATGCATAAAAATACTTTTATATAATAACACCTATTAACACAAATTTTCCAGAATATTTTGGAAAAAGTAACAAATGTAGTGTTATTCAGCCTCAGTATTACATTTATTTCACAATAAACATCCATTTCATTGCTGATGTGTCTGTGTGTTTTACTTTGAATTTACAAGGTTTTACAAACCCATTTATTTTTTGTTACAATTTGCAGTGTAATTCTTACCTGTTGTTGTGGACTATCGCAACCATCACTTAACACCACAAAACATGTGTTTCTTCATAAGAAATGTTTATGGATTAGAAATCAAACCTGCTCTAAGATTTTTGCACACACACACAGATGTGATGCTTGCATAAAACACATCTGTAAGATCTTTGGCCCATAATGTTTAAATTATCCTTTAAAAAACCTTCAGATATTGTCAGAGTGGTTTTTTTAGTTTCTGCTCAATATCACAAACAATATTACTAATTTCTACAAATGTACAGATATACATGCATTGCTTTTCTGCCAGTTTAACCAGAAAACAGGATTGAAGCTGTCATAGGATATGAAATTCATCCTATAAGGTGTTAAGGCGAATTTTGTCCTTCAAAACAATGTGAGTTTATCATATTACCCTGTCTTGACTTCTGCAAATTGCAAACCACACCTGGTAATCAGCCAGAATAATGGCAGCTGGCATAGGCCAAGACTAGTTAGTGCCTGTACAAAAAATAAACATTCCCAATGACTACATGACCATGCCAGTATAGTTTTCTAGTACTATAGCAGTACTTCTCCAGGACTGTGATTATAAGTAGAGTAAGAAGAGCTCATCAAAAACCACTACACTGTCTAGAACAGGTTTACTGTGACATACTAATCATGGTTTCTTGTGTAAAAGAAAATGCCGGCAAAAAAACTTCAGAATTTTAAGATAATTAAAAGAAATGGGCAAAGGCAATTCTGTTTCCTATAATACCATAAGCTCTGTATATGTATTTTTACTTTTTACTCAATCACACAATTCTGGCAAGTGACAGCTGCACTTTCGTATCATTCAATATATTAGCAATGACTCTCTGATATTAAAGTTGTAAATGCCAAAAGTTCATGGATGTTTTCCAGCTCTCTATCTCCCCTCAGAACTTGTTTTGTTTTTCTTTTGTTCCAAATACTTTTCTTCTGAAAGATGTAAACATTTTGAAGAAGGTTCTTTGAGGGTTTAAAGAGTAATAGTAGTTCATAATGTTCAGATAAGTTACTACATTTTTGTAATCCAAAATAATCATTAGTAAAATCTTTGTTCGCTTTGAAGTTTCTCAGTTGTTTCCATGGCAGCAACACCCAACAAATATAATCTTTAGTCACCAAGACCAGCCATTCAAGATCTTATTTTTTTCTGAAGTGTTTTCCAGGCAAGCTGTTATGACATAATTATGCCATTTCTTTGAAATCTAGGAAAAGTGGCCTATAGAGACATTCTTGGTGATTTAAATTTCTTTATATTTCTGAAAAATATTTCAAGTTTTCTCATCTCAGATTAAATTTATACCACTCTTTGCAACATTAATAGTAACTAAGACCCTAAATCACAGCTTTACTTATTCTGATGTCACTAATTTTTGTAATGTCAACTAAGGAGTCTTTAAATTGGTGTTAATTTGATATTTGCCAGAATAGCAGGAGCTGATGAAACTGAATGAGACCAGGATCACTCTAAAAATGGAAGTGTTCCTGGGGTGTTCTCTGGGGATTCCTGACAGCACTGATTGCTGCTGAGTAAACGCCACTGGTATCTGTTTCATGGATCATGATGCTTATCTTTTGTGCTGCAAAAAGGCTGTATTGGTTCACTATTGTCAAACTGACATTTAATTTCCTGCATTACACTAAGCAAAGAAAGCATTGTGAATTCACTTATAACAGAAATAACTGCAACACTATAGCATGGTTGTTTTAGGCATGGCTGAAGACTAATCTGATATGGGTTTTGTGATTTTTTAAACAGTCTCATTCAGTAGGAGAAATTTAGATCAAATTTTACGAAGTCACATATTCAAGATCACCTTCCCACCATCTGGATTGTTACCTCAGCAAGTGCTACCTGCAGTTTTATTCTTAGAGTTATGTCATATTGCATCCTGAGGAAATAAATGAAAACCAAATATATCTATCTTCCCAATGTCAATGTTTTTTTATGAATGACAAATGAAAAATCTTTTTGCAATGTTCTCACTGGCATCCAATTGGACTCCATCTACACAATTTTATTATTCATTATTCTGTCTGAGTAATTCTTTAGGGAGAGACTACATGAAGTCCAGAGCAATTTCTATCCAAAAGATAAGTAAGCAAATATATTCAACTCCTGCAGTCTTCAAAAGGTAAGAAATAATATAGATAAGATTTCATTACGGCCATGGTTGCAGCTGCAGTGAGGAGAATTTATTTGTAGGCTGTCACTCCTTGCACTCTGTGCCTAAGTCATCATATGTATTACCACTTGATACTGATAGACACTTTGCATTCAAGTTTACAAATTCAAGAAATGAATCACAGACAGGATATTTACTTGGGATTGATTTGCAGACTGTGAAAAAACATCTTGCCTCTACAGTGTAGTAGACACTATGGTTATGGAAGAGAGATGTGTGTATCACTGAGAATGAAGATCATGTTACAGAGTGCCTTTGGAGGAAGAGGCACTGCTCTAATCTCTGTGCTGTGGCACTGAACACATTGCCATCAGCTCTTGATCAGAGAAGCTATTTGAAAAATTCTAAAATTCTAAGACTAATTTTCTCTTACTGTGTAAAAGTGTTATAATGTTTAGGGAGCCAGTGTTAGCAAATTGTAATTATCATCTGAGTGGAGGGCTAACATTGATTTCTTCCTGCTTATGGCACATGCATGCCACAGATCTTAAGAATTCTGCTAAGGCTCTGCTTTGCTTAATGAAGAGATCCTTTGTTTGATTTAGAGTTGTATTGCCTCAAGATAGAAATTTCTGGCACGAGGATCTCAATCAAAACAATTGCCTGATAATCAAAACATTAATTTTGTTTTTATGTAATGAAAGTTATAAAAAGTGAAAAAACATGATCACTTGCTCTAATGAAAATGAATCCTATTTCTTAATTTTCTGTCTTTAGTTTAATTACCATAATAAATCCATCTGAAACTACTATATATATCCACACAGAAATGTTCTTGATCTTACAAAAACAAAAACAATTTTGTTTTCAGTCCTATGAAATCGTGCTAGTGATTTATAATAAAGGATTAATGGAACAGTTTCTAAACCAATGTTGCACTCCAATTCAAGCAATAAAAAAGCTACTAATTTTGTGTTCAGACACTTTGGAAAGCAAATAGGCAGGAAAAAAAAAAAACTAAATAAATAAGTATAAGCAACATCATCTCTCTATGATTCCCCACAGCTAACAGTCATCCTGTCAACAACAGGTCTTAGTCAAACTGAATCAACTGTGAAAAATTCATCAGAAAAAGATGCAACACAAAAGATACCCCAAATAGGGGTGCTACAGCCCAACAGACTGATGCTTCAGACATTCCCTTACATTTAAGACCTAGATAAAATTTCCTAGAAGTTTCAGCCGAAGCTATTTACTATGTGACACTGTTGCCTGGTATAAAGCATAAAACCTTTCCAGACAACATTAAGAATGACAACATAAAGTCAAATAAATCTTTAATGAAAGCTTTCAGGTGCACAAAATAGTGCTATATGCACATGTGATACAGTATTTCTACAAATTCTATAGGGTTAATTAATTAGTATATCTAGCAGATACATCCAACAGGAGATTAGTTACCCCAGGAACTCACCCCTAGGTCAGCCCCTCAGAGTGGGTCCAGAGGCTTCTTTGTCCTGTTTTCTTGTTATGTCACTAAAGTTCTAAAAGAGATGTCCTTATCAGTAATTGTCTGCTTAAGAACAAGACTTTTACAGAATTTCAGGAATATATTAATTAATGGGCATTAATAGCCCATGTTGTTGTGGCTATGGTAATTTGAGTATACATATATCCTTGTTCCCAACATCTAAGACTATTTCCAAACTTAAATACAAACCATGGGATATGAAAATGTGCTGGGTTTCCGTATAAATCACTATATCAATCAATCTCCTGAAAAATCCACATCAAAATCATGACAAAGAAACGCCTGTAGATTATTTTTTTTTGGCAATGAATTACAGTATTCATTAATGTAGCCATAGGATCTGCATTAACTACCACAGAGTGAGACATCAGGCAGGGGTTAGGAAGAGGGGAGAGGACTAGAAATCACATAATCCTTGAAATAACCACAGACGCAGGAAAAGCTAACGCTAACATGAAGAGCAGCCACCAGATTTTCTGCCACCAAATTTTTTTACAGCATCACTGTTGCTATCTTGTTGCAAAGGTTTCATACCTTCTTGGTGATTTCTCATGAGCAGCTCCTCACAGCACCGACTTCTTCTTGTTCTCTGCACAGCCAACAAACCCCATCTTACATCTCAACCAGCCAACCTGCTCTTTTATCGTACCCCTCCTAATTGGATGCAGCTGTGGCCTATTACGGGCAGGCTTGTTCTTCATTCTTGATAATTAGCACAGCTATAACTCCTTAGGGGTGAGAATACCTTCACCACCATCTCTATTCTCCTACCTTTTATCCATCCACAATTCCCCCTTTTCTTTTAATTACAAAGTTGCAGTATCTCTAGAAAGTTATGTTCAAGTAAATTGACATTATAACATATTCACATCTATTACTTAGGACGAACAGTTATATGAGTGTTCAGGCAACATATCACAGTAAGAACATATGTTTCTAAGTTGTGATTTTGTTTTGCTTTTCAGAATCTAGAACATCAACTTAAGGCTCATCACCAAAAACCCTTGTGCTTAGACTTCTATATCACAGTGAAAGTATATGTTTCTAAGTTCTAATTCAGTTTTGCTTTTTCAGAGCATAGACTTGATTCATTCTCTAAATTCACAGAGTACTTATCATCAAAATCTTCAGATCCATGCCTAATTGCCTAATCAAAGATTAAGTCACAAAAATGAGTTAAACTAACATGTGTTTACGATCTTTTGCGAGGCCCTTTGCAGAAGATAGTAAACCCAGTATAATCGTCTTTTGTGTCATTTCTGTTTAACTTTAGAATGTGTTTGTGCTGACTTTGATTCGTTACCCAAACTTACATTACATATCATCGGAAAACTTTATATTGATATTTCTAGAATATTGACAATATCAACAGCTGTACAACTTTAGAAGGTAACTCACAATAATAAGTTAAAGGCTATATATTAAGACAGCAACAAATCAACAGTCACATAAATTCATGAACAGCTATAGAACTGTGAACAACATTGATCCAGCATCTATCCAGTGTACTTATGCTTCATCAAAGATTCATAGTTGCAATTCACAGACAAAATGCACATGTTTAATTAGCAAACAAATACACTATACTAAATAAGAGAGTTACTCTTTTCCCAGCTACAACTGCTGTTTTAATAATTCTCTTCTTCCTTCTACAGTTTTTGCTGTATTAGTTGATCACTGCCAGCCTCTCTTATCTTGCTCTGTTTTCCATTCTTTTAAAGTCTTATAAGTGATTTCCAGGTGGCAGCCAAATCTGCAGCTGCCTTGCCCCCTTTTTGACACTACATTTTAGTCTTTTTTTAACTTCTTTCCATATATATATAAGAACCTGTTCTGCACTCCATACGTTATTTCCCATTGTATCCCCAGTAGTTCACCTGTACCTCAGGTGTGGAAATCTGTCAGGTCCTACCGAGGCAGCTTCCCCTGTGGCTCTCAATGCTACCCTGGGCTCCATCTCCAGCTGCACCTTACCCTACAGCTGACTCCCAATCATGTCAGGTTACTGTGGAGATAGCCACTATACAATTTTAGAGGGCTTCTCTTACATGTTATCTGTGCAGCTCTGACTCTGCCTCTCAGAGCTCCATGGTGCTTCTGTTCCAGTTCTCACATTGCAGCAACTTAGCAAACCTTCCCCCATATTCCTTGGGGGCTATGCTATTGCTGAGGCACTGCCTACTGCTGTGGCCATGCCATTTGCCACTTCTGTCACACAGCTTGTGTCCCACTGCACACACTGCCATTCAGGGGGAGCCCAGCACTGTCCTGTGTCCTTGATCCCATCAGCATCACCAATTGTTGACATCTTGTTGCAAAGGTTTCATCCCTTCTTGGAGATTTTCATGAGCAGCTCCTCACAGCACTGACTCCGTCTTCTCCTCTGCACAGCCAACAAACCCCATCTTACATCTCAACCAGCCAACCTACTCTTTTACAATACCCCTCCTAATTGGAACCAGCTGTGGCCTATTAAGGGCAGGCTTGTTCTTCATTCTTGATAATTGGCACAGCTGTAACTCCTTAGGGGTGAGATTACCTTCACCACTATCTCTATTCTCCTACCTTCTACTTATCCACACATCTCTACAGCCACAAAACACATGATCCAAATAACAGCCACCAAACCTCATAACAAATGCTGAGTTTGGCAATAAAACTGAACTTGCCTCCCAGTACAGAAATGGCACCAGAAACACAAGGTCATAACTGCTATTTGTGAAAACAACTGTCCCAGGGTGTCATAAGTCTTATAGTAAAGAGGCGAAGTCCTTAAGAAGGTTACAAGGGTTGCCTGAAAAAAAACTTCTGTGGGTGTATTGGTTTTATATTAATCATCTATTTGCATTATTTTGTAAATTTAAATGACAGCTAAATGCATCAGAAGGTCAGATATTTACTAAAAATTAGAAAAAAGAGAAACATATATTTCCTTAGACTCCCCTTCACATCTCATCACTACCTAAACCATAAACTTAAATTAAAGCCCTGGATACATCACAGCAGTCGTAATTTTCAAGACTCACATGAAGACTTTCACAAAAAGTTTTAGATTTGATCTTGGATATAAAATGAATATGAATTCAATCTTGAGCAGTTTATTTGTACTGCATACTATCAGCAGTGAATGAGTTTTTTCTTGTCTAAAACCCAATTTCTAATGCAATAGGAATGAGATATTAGATTGCAGAAGTGATTGAGTTCTGCTATAGAGAGAAACTCCATTTGAGAGTGTATTTCTGACTTAATATTGAAATTTAATGTTAAGGGGTTTTTTTAGATGAAAAAACTAATTTTATTGTATTTAAAATAAAATAAATTTTCCAGATATAAAAACAAGCTACCTTTTTTTTTTTTTCCCCTGGTATCAGAGGTTTATTCAGAATCAATCTTCCAAAGAACTTCAGAGTGTTTATTACCCACAGAAATACTGTGTGCTTAATTTTGATATACTGGTTCAACTACACTGAGTTCCAATTGCATAATCAACAATACGAGTTCTGTCATCCCTTAAGAAAATTTCAATCTTCAAGGAAAAAAACAGAAATGGGACATTATCAGATACCAAAGAGGACATTAAAAAAATTCCATAAGGCATTACATATTATAAAGAAAACTTCACTGTCTTCTAATTCAAATTCTGGAACCAAGTTGCTACTTTTTTATTTATTTTTTTTAATACCAAAGAACAAATTCAAGTCAGGTAGAGAAAAAGATAATTTCTTTGCAGTCTTAAAAAAAACCCTTTAATATATAATGTTAATATGAATGGAAGAATACAATTACAAAATTAAATACAGTTGTATATAGTACTTCTAATAATATATACATAATCATAAGTTATATTAATACTTTTTTTTACCTTTCTGTTCTTAAATACAGTTTGAAAGTACTGAGATAAAACATAAGACTAAAAAGGTAAAATGTCAATATTGTCCTTGAAACAATATAATATTTTTTTCATATAATATAGGACTTACTTAAGCATGTAAATTTCTCTGACTGCAATGGTATTTCTGTTTGGTAGTAAATCAAGTCTGAGTCTGTCATCCAAGAATATCCTCTGATAAAGAAAGACACTAAGGAAATTTGCACTTCTAAAACCCCAATGTTATGCTTTCTCACTACTCTGAAATGCAAATCAGTAACATTTCGCAGCTTTTATAATGCTTACTAAATTTAAACCAATCCAATAAAGGAATGTGGACCTGAAAAAAGCACCTTCATTATTATTCTGCATAATTGGAATACTCTCTAACTGTGACGTACTATATTAATCACTTTCATTGCACAAGTGCCTTCTGATGGGACTGAAGTCCCATTATGCAAACACAGGATTTTCTCAGAGTTTACAAGGTACATAACACAAGTTGAAAAAAGAGACATTACACATGGCAATGTTAGAGCCCCAAATATTGTGTTGGCTCATGTTTATTCATTTTCTAAAGCTACTTCAAAAAAGGCAATGAAATACTTAAGAGGTAGAAGGGTAAAAAGGAGCTGGGCAGGTGTTAGGAGCCACTTCTGAGGCAGGGTAACTGAGGTTCTTGATAGCAGATCCCTTGGGGTTGATTAGTATGAAACAACATGGTGGTCTTTGTTTGACTGGTGATATGCGTAGGAGGAGTTGCTTCCTTTCACACAGTTTTCCACAGTGGGAATTTTTGTCCATATGTGTTAACCAGGATGTGCTTACCAGGTCTCGCCCCATCAGGCCAGGAATCAGCAATTTCCTGTTGCAAATTCCTCCCTTCTGTGCTCATCTCAAGTTCCCATTCTGGTGATTTATCTTATGGCAAATCCCTTCTATGGCTTTGGCAGTGTTTGAGACAGGCAACGGTGTTCTCACAGCAGGATATACAGGAAACCAAGAGACAAAAGTAATGCGACAGAAAGTCATGCAGGTAGGCATGAAGCTGAGGTCCACATTGAAAGCAAATTAAATATTAAAGAAAGAGTAAAAATAATTAGAAATATGGAGTTCTGGAGCACACATCAGCTCCTAAGCAAGGC